TAGACATTTTATTCTTGTTTATTTTCTACTTTTTAGAGCATTTAAATAAAAGTTTATTTTTAAAAATGTTTCTTACTATTTTATTTTTATTTTTAGCTATCGCTAAACATGTTTCTAAGTTTATTCACTTCAGTTTTTTTATTTGACTGTCACCATAAATCTGTCTTCTTGATTTTTTATCACCGGAAGTTGACAATTGTAACATTTGTTCAAGCACCACCAAACTATCTCTAACCTTTGCCTAGTTACAACTCTTTTAAATTTATTTGGTGTCCATCTCGTTTTACCACCGCTAGAATTTGCTCAAGATGTATCGATCGATGGTCGATATTAGTTAAGACAGGATACCGCTAAGTCGCGTTTAGCCAGGTAGTAAGTAGTACACAAACTCCTCAAAGAGCTGAACGGGGACGTCATTTTATTGGTATTTTCCTCAGCGAACCCGTTCATTTGGCATCCATATAAATTATGTCATGGGGATAATAAAAAAATGGGTGTACATCATATTGGATTTAGAGTGAAGTCATTTAATTTTGTATTCTTCTCAGCAAACTCTTTCATTCGATTCCCATATCATGGAGTGCATAAAAAATAACTAGTCCGCCATCTTTGTCGATTCGCCATATTGGGCGGATTTTGAATATAGTGTGACGTTATTTCGTTTTTCGTATTCTTCCCAGCTAACTCTTTCATTTAATACCCCTATCATAGGAGTGTAGGTATAAAAAATTACTAGTCTGCCATCATGGGCGGTCCGCCACATTGGATTTAGAATGGATTTAGAATACATTAATTCGTATCTTAATCGTTCAAACCGTTTTGAGGATAAATGGAAACATTTGTTTGCACAAAAAATGTTTATTGCAGCGCCCCCTGGCGAGTTAACATCCTAACACCTATCTAAGAACCATTGCAGATGAGTCACATACCCTTTACAGAAAACTGTATCTAAATCAGTCCACCCATTATTAAGATAAATGGGAACATTCGTTTGCACACACAAACAAACGAACAAACAACCTCTCACCCTAAACTCTTATACCTTCTCCGTTTGGATTATGTCCATTGAGATTATGTTAGTCATATTATGTTGTGGTTTGATAAATTTTCGTGCAAAGGCAGGGATCGATTGATTTAGCTCATTCGTAGTTCGCACCCGATTGTAAAGCCTATATCATTAAACGTGATGTAGACAGACATATATATTTATGTAGACACTCAAAATACGAGTATGTAGGCTCTACTTTCATTTCTTACTTCTCACTACGTAAAACTGACTGACTGACTGACTAATCACGATATTTCTAAAACTATACACCTGATTGACTTGAAATTTAGTATAGTTACTCATTTTGAAATCTAGACGCTGACTAAGAACGGATTTAACGATAGTCCCGCAAAAATTTTTGATATTTTATATATTTCTGATATCGTCTTTTATCGTCCGCCCAGCGAAGCGAGTGGGTGTCAGCTCAAAATTCAAATATATAAATAATGATATACCGATATAAATTTTTTGAAAATACGAGTAAATAAAGCATCTTTTTACTTTTATTTGAAATTATCGAAAATTGAATGTGATTCATGTGCAAAACTATGCGTAACTATGATCCTGTGTGTGAGATTCAATTCACATTACTCAAGTTTTCGCCTACTGTTTACTTTCTTAGTGACACTCTTAGATACTACTAAAGCTTTAATTAATAACTAATTGCCTCGTTGGTCTAGTGGTTGTATTAGTGCAACTGCTGATCATGAGGTCCTGGGTTCGAATCCCGGGTCGGCCAAAAACTTAATTATTGAGTTTTTCCATCAATATCGGGGTTATTGGGTATTTCCCTGTTATCTCTCCGATCGTGTCGGTTTACCGTCCCATCGGAATATATGTGATGGAATAGAGAGTGCACCTGTGCTTGCGCATACACTTGGGCACTATAATCCTGTCCTGCGCCGATGGCTAGCCTCCGTTGAGGCAGGCCGCCGTGACCGGAATTTGGTCTGGAGGACATTATTATTATTATTAATTAATAACTAGATGATGCAAATTATGACTCCAATTTTCCTTTCACACTTTTAACGGGCTTTGGATCGTCATTACAAATATTTTTGCTTATCAACGAGGTTACCGATGACTGTCATTATTATGGCGTATTTAAAAAAGTCCCAATATAAGAATATTTGATACCTCAAAATGTTCAATCCGTTTCCCTTGTTAATATTAAACTACACTATTTAAATTTTGCTCACTGCACTTGAATAGTTTAATTGGCTGTCAATTATTATTCGATTGAGAGGTACACGTACGTTAATATCTTACCGGATGAAGTCTCACTTTCGTATAATCTTTGTGCACCACGTAAACTTTCATTGTTTAAAATATATTTCATATTTTCATCGTAACCGCGGTTTGACAATTTTCATTCCGTCATTAGTAACGAAGCGTAGGTACGTAATAAGGTCACGGTCTACATTGTCAGGCCATTTGGCCAAGGTGGCGGACGTAACGTAGGTACAAAAGTTGTACCTAGCGGTGTAATGTAACAGTAACCGGAAGGGATGGGAGAGAGAAGATGTGCAACAAAGTACTTTACCGAGCGACCCTTATGAATGTGTGCGTACATAAATTAGTAGGCGTTAGACATTTACGCATGATAATCAGTTACTAGTATTTATAATAAATTTTTATTCACCATTAGCCTATATTCTAAGCCTTTGCAAATTTGGCCAGAATAAAATGGTATGAATCCGTACCAATCGATATTTAAACGGTAAATCTCACCACCATCCTTCACAGTTAGCTGCCAGGGAAATCTTTAATTCAGAGAGCAAAAGGGATCAGTGACAGAAAACATCTGGCTGACGAGCTTCATCACATCAAGTAAGTATTGCCACAAATAAGTATTATAAGACAACAAGCTTAAGGTCCCGCGCCTACGTCACAGTGACCGTGAGAAGCTGGCCACGGTCGAGCGTGGCTACTGTACTACCACACGTCAGAGGAGTCACAGAAAAGATTGGCTCCATCTTGAAGCGATCTTCCTTTAAAATCTACAAGCCGTAGAAGAAGATTTGTCAATTTTTACTATCCGTCAAGTGTAATATCCCTCTAAAAAATGTAGAAGTGTACAAGCTTGATTGTGAATGAGTTCTCTCATACATAGCACAAACAAAAAGATCTATAAGAGCCCGTGTAAAAGAACATATAGCTGACGTGAAACACTGACGTTCCGGGAACTCTGCAGTCTGTGAACATGTTCAAGATCTACCCCACCATTACATTAGATTTGAAAGACCACAAATCCTCCCAAAAGGACACCGATTCCTACCTCGGATGATTCCTAATTTCAATAGAGAAGATGTATGGGTATTATCATCTGCTTGGGATCCTACAGTTATCAAAATTAAATCCAAACCCAAGCATACCCCCGCAAGACTTCAAGATACTGTAAGCTCATTCTGCGTAGATTGGACCAAAAATGAATATCAATAACTGAAGGTTGGGCCGTCAAACACCTCAGTCCCTCCCATGACCATGGGTACTGTAAAGCACCCGAAACGTCACAATACCGTCTGGTGGTAAGTGGTCATGTAGCTTTATTCTTTTGTTTAAAGAACTACATTACTAACAAATCGATCGAATCAACGATTAAAGAAAATTTAATAATAATAATAATAATAAATAAATTGGCGTGGAATTGCCGACCGAAATTATTCCTGTAGTCGTCTCTGCAAACGGGCTAATCCCAGTCAGCCTCTCGGGTCATCTGAGGCGGCTGGGACTACGTGGCGGACCGCTCCAGGTTCAAATGCAGAAGGCGGTGCTCCTCGATACCGCCCGCATCGTCCGCCGGTTTCTTTCCCTTTCCCCCTAACCCTCGGCCGTTTGGTCTCCCCTGCCGAGGGCCTCCATCTGGTTGGGCTTTTATTTATTTATGTACTTTTATATTTATTTTATGTTATTGATATTTATGTATATTTATTTTTTCATTTTCATTTATAATTATATATTTATAGAACCCAACCAGATGAGAAAACTATATAGATACCCCATAATAATAATAAATAAATTGGCGTAGGGAATTGACGACCCCATCGCCTGCTGACGTAAAAGTTAAGTGACAAAACTGCTACGTCAACGCAGTCAGTCAGCGCCTTGCGAGAGGTGTGAGCGCCGTGCCTTGGCAGAATTTAGGGTGGAATGGCCCGTTTGTGCTTATGGGCACACACGATACGGTGCCGGGCCTGGGAATCTCCCGTTAATAGACGCCCAAATAATGGATGATGTATAAAAAGATGGTGCGCAAAGGGCCGCTGCATGGGGGTCGCCAGGGCGCGTCTGGAGCTGTCACTGGACGCGGCAGCGTGCGGGCCGCCAGCCGAGCGCGAGGAGATGCACGGTCACCTAGCAGCCCTCCGCATCCATCATCCACACCAGAAGGCTTAGTATAGGCTTGGTCTTATCGGACTCAGCAAGCGGCACGCGCCGCTGGTGGAGCACGTCGCATGCGTTGGTCACAAGCAATGAACGCAAACGCACTGCGGGCGTACTTTAGGGCAAAAGGGGAAGAAACTGGATGTTTGGCGTATCGGGCTAGGATGCACCGTCTTTTTGCTGAGCTGGAGCCATCTTTAACCGTCACAGAGCAAAACCTGGCAGACCGAGTTCGGTATATCTTGCACGCAAATATATTTATGTCGCCGAACGCGAACGGCTACGACGTGAGGTTGTTCCCTCATTGGATGAAAATGCTACGGCTGTGGATACGGCGCCACAAATTGTAGAGCAACCCGCAAACGTGGATGCCGCCGTAAACACCCCAGTTGTGGTTGATTCAAACGATGATGGAACAGTCGCCCAGGAACTGGAATTAGAGCATATGAGGAGTACATTGGAAGAGGCGATTGTGGAAACGCGCAGTACGCCTCTCGAAAATCGACCGTGACTTCCCCGCATAGCCCTAAGCAAGCGGAATCGGGCTGTCGTGAGGGCTCTGGACCCAATGCTGGTGACCTATTTGAAAGCCAGCCGGGACGTTTGCGAGACGGACTCAATTATTTTTGGCGCCGTGCTGGCAGTCTGCCGTATCATAGAAGCCAAGGTTTCCACGGCTGGATGCGCTACTGGGCAAAGTAACATCCCAGCATGGAGAAGAAGAATTGAGGAACGTATCGCAAAGGCTAGAGCTCTAATCGGCAGACTAATATGCTTCAGATCAGGCAATAACAGGCCAAGAATTGTGCACACCGTCAGGATGGCGTTTGCTATGACAAATGTCAGTTTGTCCCAGCCGGATATAACGCAAAAACTGACGGAGTGCATAGATGATCTGAAGCAGAGAATCGCTGCTTGGGGACAGTTTCAAGAGGCTCTCAACCAGAAGTCGCTCCCTAGCCTCTTCACTACTGGGATCACCCATTTGGTTCCTAAAGATTAGGGTACCACAGACCCGAGCAAATACCGCCCCATCACGTATCTACCGACCATATACAAGACACTAACATCCATTTTGAGCGCGAGAATCACTCGTCACCTGGACTCAAATCAGGTGATATCGCGCGCTCAAAATGGATGTCGGGGTGGTGGTCGAGGAACCAAGGAACCACTCCTCATTGACGCGGTCATTGGCAAAGTGGTAAAACGCAACCGTCGGAACTTCTCCGCTGCCTGGATAGACTGCAGAAAGGCATTCGACTCGGTGCCCCATACATGGTTAGAGAGAGTCCTCGAGCTGTACAAGATAGACTGTACAGTTTGAGACTTCCTCGAGCAGTTTATGGGGCAGTGGAGTACGATCTTTTGTCATCTAGACGAGCGTATGATGGCTGCGGAGAACCACATAAAGATAAGAAGGGGTATCTTCCAGGGCGATTGTCTGAGTCCAATCTGATTCTGCCTCTCTCTGAACCCTCTCAGTACCTTACTGGAGGGCTCCGGGAGGGGATTTCAGCTACGGAAAGGAAGGACAAAAGTGACCCACCTTTTCTATATGGATGACCTCAAGTTATTCGCCTCCAGTCGCTCCCATCTTATGGAATTGCTAAACATCACTTGTGAATTTAGCAATTCCATTCCAATTGGAATGGAGCTGGGGACGGATAAGTGTGCGGTCCTCCATGTTGAAAGGGGAAGGGTTGCTAACTCTGAGGACGTATACTTATCTATGCCCGTCAACTTAAGAACTCTTTCCGAGGCTGAAACATACCGATACCTGGGTGTATCACAGAACATCGGTATCGATGAGGCTGGTATGAAACAGTCAGTTTGCGACGTGTTTTATGCACGCTTGACCAAAGTGCTTAACAGCCTTTTGTCTGGTGTGAATAAGGCACACGCATATAACGGCTGGGTCATGCCTGTCCTCATGTATACCTTTTTCATACTCAGGTGGACTCAGACTGAACTTAACGCCCTGGATAGAAAACCTATAGAATCCGCACTACCATGACGTCCCATAGGATGCATCATCCGAGATCTTCGGTAATGTGGCTGTACTTGCCGCGAAAGCATGGTGGGCGTGGCTTCTTGAGCGTCGCGAAAATCGCGAAGTGTGCAGCCTCCGTCATTACTTCCTAGCGAGATCGGTTAATCCATTCTATAGGGACGTCATTTCTAGTGATAAAAGGCTTCCCCTTCTATTCTTAGTCAACGAGCAATGGCAGGACCCAGCAGTGCATAGCATTTCCGACCGGGAGACCGTACGGAAGGAGAAGGAGCTCCACGGGAGGTACTACAGGGCTCTACATGAGCCCTACATAGATACAGTCGCCTCCCTCAACTGGCTACGTTTCGGTGACCTCTTCTGGGAAACCAAGGGTTTTGTCTGTGCAATACAGGATCAGGTTATTAAGACCAACAACTATCGGAGATACATCCTAAAGGATGGCACCGTCGACGTCTGTCGAGCTTCTCGCCATCCCGGGGAGTCACTTAGGCATGTCATCTCCGGTTGTTCGGCGCTTTCTAACTCTGAGTACTTGCACAGGCACAACCTAGTAGCCAGAATTCTTCACCTGCCTTACCTTCGCTCTGAAATACGGTCTCGTGGATCGGAAATTGCCGTATTTCAAGTACTTGCCGGAAGCCGTGCTCGAAAATGATCGCGCCAGGCTCTATTGGGACCGGGCCATCATAACAGACAGGACTATTCTTGCGAATAAGCCTGATATTGTGCTGATGGATCGGGCACAGACAAGGATATTTTTGGTCGTCTTTACCATTCCGTATGACGAAACCTCGTGAAAGCCGAAACAGATAAGCATACAAAATATCTGAACCTGGCTCACCAGGTGACCGAGATGTGGGGTGGCTGCCGACCGAAATTATTCCTGTAGTCGTCTCTGCAAACGGGCTAATCCCAGTCAGCCTCTCGGGTCATCTGAGGCGGCTGGGACTACGTAGCGGACCGCTCCAGGCTCAAATGCAGATGGCGGTGCTCCTCGAGATCGCCCGCATCGTACGCCGGTTTCTTTCCCTTTCCCCCTAACCCTCGGCCGTTTGGTCTCTCCCCTGCTGAGGGCGTACATCTGGTTGGGCTTTTATTCACATATGTATTTTTATATTTATTTTATGTTATTGATATTTATGTATATTTATCTTTTCATTTTCATTTATAATTATATATTTATAGAACCCAAGCAGATGAGAAAACTATATTGATATCCCCCAATAATAATAATGTTGTACTTAGTCCACATATTCAACGCATCTAGCATGCGAAAATTATTTAACATAATTTGATGATCGGTAAGCAATTAAACGTCGCCGATAATTGGTCGTAGACTATATCATCAGCTTAGACTCAGAAGTTATCATAACTGTTAAGAGAATTAGCTTTAAGCCACTCATAGAGAAAATGAATTAGGTAGTTTTCAAGCGGCAGATTTTGTTTTATTTCCCAGCAGAACCGGAGAACAGCTTCAAAGGTGCAAGACTACTAGGATGTCACTTATCCATGTACCAATTGTGACAATTAAGGCAAAGCGATGTTAAGCACTCTCATCTTACAATAAAAGAAAGTTTGTTCAATCGAAAAATTATGCAAGAAGACATCATAATCTTCACTTAACTGTACATCTTAAAGAGTGCTGTTGCAAAGAACCCACTTTTTTTAAATTGAAACTTCGTGCGTGCTCCAATTCAAATGACTTTAAAATATTCGTCGAATTCATCGAACTATTTATCACACACTTCACTTATAACATTGTTAAACTGAGCATATTATTTCTTTCAATTTGATCTGTGCCTACAGGATCTTTAGAAGGTACACATGCCCCATAAAATTCACAGCCGTATTACGTTTTCATATGCTTTTGGTATTATCGCTTGTCGAATTTTCTAAAGCTTAGTCAGAACTAAAAAACTTATTTATGGGCCAAGTCCATAAAGAAGTCTTCTTTTTTACTATTATATGCCAGCGCCTGCCCACTATTCTACCCAATAGTAAGCAGTGATGCAGCCAAAGATGACAAAGCGTACTGACCATAGATTACTGTATATATACTAGAGATAGATGTGCGACTCAAATTTAATTTTAGTTAAAGTTCTTAAAAAAGGCTCGCCCTTTATTTGCACTTTAATAGTTTTATTTTATATACAACCACTAATTACATTGCGCAAGTGCAGCAATGTAATTAATAGTTGTATATGTTTCTTGTGGTAATTGTAAGTTCCTATACCATAAAATAAAAAACAGGTTATTTTTAAAACGTTTATTGTTTAAAAATTCTTTGCTTAGTTATTGAATAACATTAGATGTGTTAAATTTAACAGTATTTCACAATATCAATTGATTTCTTTATACAATGTCCCTACTAGTTAGTAAATATCTTATATTACAGAGAATAGAACATTTTTTAATTAAATATAGATTATTACATAATACTTATTGGAAATCGTGTTTCATTTACCACTGATACCACTGTCCTGGGAAGAACCAACAAGAAGCTCAGCGCGACTTTTTTTAAATATATTTTACTTTACAATATCCTAGTGTTTTCTTTATTCTTCTGAAAGCTATTTATGTTTTTATGTATGTACATATTATATTACATTTTCATAAATATATTGCTATGCCAAAGTTAATGTGTTTATTTCTTTAAATTTTTTAAAAGGCTCCTTAAAATTTAAGATAAAAATTGACCGTATGGTTCTCTTTTATAATCAAAATATAGCTTCAATATCAGTCACATAACCCCAATATTAATATCAGGAAAAACAGTGATATCATCCACACTCCTTCCCATTTAAGAGCACATTGGTAATTGAATCCTCTCCAAAGGTTTGCTCCTCTTCTATAATTTTATGAATTAGTATTTAAAATTAATTAATTTAATAAAAGAGATACATTTTGGAGCAGCATTATTAATCTTTAAAATATGAACTTGATAACGTTATCACATTTTAGTAACCTATCAAATCTTTTTAGATGTGTGTAATAACTACAATTTTAAAAAATACAAATAATTTACAAAAGTGACTTTCTTATTGTACTTTACCATTGTTTTACACATGTAATCATTATATTTTTTTTACAAAACGAGCATTTTATATATTATAACATACTCATACATTATACAACTTTATAAACTATTTGCGAAATTATAACCAATCTAATAAATTGGGGAATTTTGATAGTCAAAGACAATTAAAGTTTTATTCTACCCACACGTATTCCTGAATATGCAGTTAGTACAAGTATAACATGAATGTCGTGGAAGATGATAAAACTTCGAAGACAAATTGTTTAGCAATTTCAATAAAAAGAAAAAAGCCTTACAACATATATATTTTTAAGTAAATTGTTCACTATGTCCTCAAGACGGACATTAAAATGGTCTTAAATAAATACTAATTAAACCAGATATAAACTTAATTATATTTAGGCAAATGAAAGATCAAAGCTTGAGCATGGCAGAGTGCTTGTGCTTCTAAATGTTTGATGAGATGCTAGTGTTCTCCTAACTACATTACAATACAACTGTCATAGGTTCTGAAGACTGAGGATGTTAAGAGTGAAAATATAACCATAAACATATAAAGCTCATATTAAGCTATCAATTTGTTATAGATTTTTGCAAAAATGCTACGATATCAGTAATTAAAAAATATATATATATAATAAAAGATTTATAACAAACATGATTAAATGGCGTCTATGATTAATTTACAATTAACACCAAAGTAAGCAATAATTAAGTTAATAGGACAAAAAACAGCAAGAATGCTTTTGAAATTTAAAATTAGAAATAATTCTCTTTATTTGATCCTACACTTATCAAAAGGGGAAATTTTATTTCAAAATAATTAACATTTATACGCATGACATAGTAGACTGCTAAATGGGAGAATTTAAAATTAATTACTCTTAGATATTGATGCCGGAGAAAATGAACTACTGGATGATGGATAAGTAAGCTGACAGATACCTCAGTGTAA